CATGGACTACCGTCCAGATGGAACTCCTCAGGACCGCTCTGGGTTGGTTGTGGATGCAAGCCTGATGTCTCTCCTGGTGCGGGGTTCGGATCTCCTTGCTGCTTGGGTGACTTGTAATCAAAGGACCTACCTAGCTCGCTGCAGGCAGGCTAGCAGGGACAAAGGAGCTAGCACCCTCCCGTTTGCCCTGCCGATTCGGATTCGGTCCTAGAGCCCGAACAGGCTGGGCTGGGAGATGTTATGTGGTCAAAGAGGGAAGGGAGTCAGACGGAGGTGGGGAGGGTTGTGGATGGTTTTTCTGATTTTTTTACTTGAGAATTTAATAATAAAATTCTGGTGTCCTGTGTACTGGTTACATAATAAGTACTGAACCCATGGTTTTACTTAAAGTATTTGTAATTTTTGGGGGGTGAGGTTGTAGACAACTCACTCTATAGACTAAGCTGGCCTCGAACTCACAAAGATCTGTCTGCCTCTGCTAAGTGCTGGGATTAAAGGTGTGTACCAGCACCACCTGGTTTATCAAAGATATCTGCATTTTCATGTTTATTCTAATAGTATTCACAGTCATCTAGGTTAGTGCATTTGTCGTGTGTAAAGGTAAATACTATATGATAGATCATGCTTGAACTTGAGGGATAGTACATCATATGTAATGAACCATGTGAAAAGGTAAATACTACATTATAGAGCATGCATGAACTTGAAGGATATTATGTTATATTGTAATAAACCATGTGAAAAAGTAAATACTACATGATCTTGTGGGATCTTTAAAAGTTTGCTTGTTCAAATGAGCTGTTGGACAAAGGGCACAGGATTTCAGATAGGAATAAGTTCATAAGGTCTGTTGTACATCAGTGGTTACAGTTAATAGCAGTCATTTATTTATATCCTTGAGAATTGCTAACAGAATAAAATTTAATGTGTTTAGCCACAAAAATATGTATAGTAATACATATCTTTCATACCCTCATTTCGCTATTCCATAGGTGTCTATGTGTGTGTTAGAAATATAAATTTTACTTGTCAGTTAAAAATAAGTATGTTGGTATTAACATGAGAACCTAAATAAATTATGTGAAAATGTACATTTAAGATTAACATAAATAAGCCAGGTGGTGGTGGTGCATGCCTTTAACCCCAGCAATTGGGAGGCAGAGGTAGGCGAATCTCTGAGTTCAAGTCCAAACCTAATCTATAGAGCAAGTCCTAGGACTGCCAGGACTATAACTTTTCAAAACAAATCCTGTCTTGAAAAACAAAATAATAAGAAATAACATAGACAATTTCCGCAATTCTCAATTTTTGACATTCTTCAATGATAATAATGGAAAATTATAGGAATTAATTATTTTGTAGCTCAAACCATTATATATAATTTGAATAAACTGTGCAAAGTGCCATATTATAACAAGTGAACTTAGTTTGTACATTAGAAGTCAACATTTTTAATATTATAAAGTAAAAATAATTTACCAGTGACATATTTTTCGATATTATAGCACCACAGAAATCCTTGGGCCATGAGGTAAATGAGTTGACTTCCAGTAAGTTATTAAAGTTAGAGATGGAAAACCAAAGCTTGACAAAAACTGTAGAAGAACTTCGGAGTACTATGGACTCTACAGAAGGCAACACTTCCAAAATCCTGAAAATTGAAAAAGAAAACCAGAGACTGAATAAAAAGGTAAATAAAATTCAATTTTTATTATAATGTTCAATGTTAGTATATAAATGTTAATATTATATAAATGTTAGTACATTATTTTCCATTTGTAATGTAATTTTTAAGCTCCTTTCAAGTATTCTTAAATGGAATGGTTGCACCAAGCCCTCTGACTGTCATCCAGACTCAGTCAGTAATAGTGAGCTGAATTTGGGGCTGGGCATACAGCTCAGTGGTAGAGCAATTGCCTGGTAATGTGGAGAATTCCTTGATTCAATCCCCAGTACTTCAAAGAAAGAAATTTAAGAACCCAACTTGCAGCTAATCTTACTTTATTACTTCCTGTTTCCTCCTCATGACCATGGGATCAGTGTATCACTTTGAAAACAAAACATTAGAATGTTAATCTCCAAAAAGTAAGGAGTTTTTAGAAAACAACAATGATGTCACAGCAGAAAAATTAACTTTTTAAAGGTTTTATTGTTTGTTTTTAGTTTATGTATATGGGTGTTTTGTCTGCTTGCATGTCTGTGCACTGTATGCAGTGTCTGCGGAGGCCAGAAGAAGGCATCAGATCCCCTGGAACTGGCATTGCAGGCAATTATGAGCTTCCCTGTGGGTTCTAGGACTCCAATTCTTGTCTTCTGCAAGAGCAGCTAGTGCTCTTAATTCCTTAGCCCTGTCTCCAGGCCTCTTACTCTCCCAAATTAACTTTTTGTTGTTAAAAACAAATCTGTATTACCCAGGTTATTCTCAAATCTCATGAATTCTAAGCAGTCATCCTACCTCAGCCTCCTAAGAGTCTAAGATTGTAGAGCACTACTTTATTTAACAAAAAAAAAAAAATCCTTTGGAGGCCAGACGGTGGTACACGCCTTTAATCCGAGCACTCAGGAGGCAGAAACAGAAAGATCTCTGTGAGTTCGAGGCCAGCTTGATCTACAGAGGGAGTTCCAGGACAGGCATCAAAGCTATAGAGAAACCCTGTCTCAAAAAAAACCCTAAAAAATAAAAAAAGTAAAAGAAAAAAATCCTTTGAAAAGTACTTCAAAAGTTTTTGTCAAGTTTTTCCACTTTTCTGACTTTATTCTGGTTTTTATTTTTTACATTGAGTTTTTTGTTTGCTTGCTTGAGACAGGGCTCACTGGCGTGGAACTTGCTATGTAGACCAGGTTGGCTTCAAACTCATGGGGATTGAGTGCTGGGACTAAAAGGTTATGTGCCACCATGGCTGGCTGTGTTGTGCAGTAGGCTGACTATAGCTAAGAGATGTATAATCAATTACTGTATTACCAAAGTCTTCGAATTAGCATGTAAGTTCCCTCCGTTTCTCCTAGCGTGTTTTCTGCTGACAGAATTAGGTATGTTATAATTTGTCCACAGTCTAGATTATGTTGCTTGCTTCCTTTGTTTTGTCACTCACTTAGCAAGTTCTTTTGTATTCTGTATTTCTTCTTAAATGTGCTTTAAAATGATTTTCTTAACCAAGAATATTTGTAGAGTATGTGTATATTTAATTTAGGAGGCATGTCTTGTTGTCTGCTTTCTGTTTTTTGTCCATGTTACAGAAAGTTTAGTTCCTGTGATTAATTAGAGGTTTATCAAATTCTGATATTCTAATTATATTATTGCTTCATAATTTGTTAATTGAATTTATTACAAAGAAAGCTTCCTTTTGAAAGCTCCTGCTCTTAGATATGATTTACTCAAATCATCAGCTGACTGAAGAGCTCTGGTATCCTTTCCCCTGACTCAGACTGTGAACTGGTTCCCTGTGCCCTCCTGAGAGAACTCAGACTGTTGGTTATGTAGTGTTTGTTTGAGCTCATGGATTTTAAAATATTTGAGGCAATTCAGCCTACCATATTTATTTTACTTACTATCCAACCGTGGGCTGGTGAGAGCCTTTTAAAAATATTTTTTTAGATTATATCATTTTCCCCTACTATTTCTCTCTCTAGACCCTCCCATGTACCTACTTCCTTTATGTGATTTCAAAATACCTGACATGAAAAAGTTATAAATAGGAAAACTTACTTTACTCACGGTTTCAGAACTTCTCAGTCTACAGTGGACTTGCTCTGTGGCTTTTTAAAATAGTTTCTATTTTTTATGTATGTGGGTACTTTTCCTCTATGTGTGTCTGTGCACTGTGTGAAGAGGGCATCAGATCCCCTGGAACTAGAGTTATTATTGGTGACGAGCCTCCACATGGGTGCTGGGAACTGGAGCCCGGCCCTTTAGAAAAACAACCCTAACCACTGGGCCATTTCTCTGGCTCCTCCATTGCTTCTTGGCCTGTGATGAGGCAGAACTGAATGGTCAGGAGCACGGAGGTGAGCAAAGGAAGAGAGAGTGGAGGGTGCAAGGACTCTAGCTTGTTACTTCCTGTAGCCCCTTTCTTGTAACACCATAGACTGGCAAGAATAGAGCTCAGTGACTGAAGTGCTTGACTAGTGTGCTCAGTGCCACAACATGAGGGGGTTTAATCCCCACTAATGCATAAATAAGTAAACATTTGAAGTTTTGTCAGGAGGTGCGGCAAGGTCTCACTATTCACATGTCGCCATGCCTGGCTGAAAATGTAAGATTTTGCTGCAGTTTATTTCTTCAATATTATTCTTTTTTTTCCCCCTTTTATTTTTGTTCTTGCCTTTTATTTTTGCCAAGTCTCTTGTTTGCTGTTTTATCAAACTCCACATCTCTCTTTTATGACTTCTTCCTTTCTTACTGAACTTTCTAGGCTAATGAAGATTGTATACTACAAATCCACATAGCCAAGAGTTTTCCAGTGAGGTCTGGGCAGTTCTCATTAGTACATGATACTCGCTTCTTGCTCTGCCTTTGTATTTCAAAATACAAATTTGTCTTAACATGAAGAGAGAAAAAGAGTCATGTTTGTCAATTTTATTAAACTAAATTAACATGGAATGCTACTTGAAATTCTATATGAGATTCTTAACTTTTACCATTTGGATATTAAAATGATTTTAAATTTAGTCTTTTGATATGAAATGTTTTGTCTGAAATGTATTTATTATGTTTTGTGATTTTTTCTAGGTTGAAATTCTTGAAAATGAAATTATTCAAGAAAAACGAAGTCTTCAGAATTGTCAAAATTTAAGCAAGGATCTAATGAAAGAGAAAGCTCAGCTTGAAAAAACAATTGAAACGCTTAGAGAAAATTCGGAGAGGCAGGTTCGTGTATTTCTCAAACAGTTGTTTTAAAGATAATGTTTATACGCCACTGCACGGAAACCTCCTAGAACATTCTAGATTTCTGATTAGCTTCAATGAGCTCTCTTTTATGTATAGTTTTGCTTCTGCCATTTCACTGTAACCTGCTGTTTTTATAGTTCAAAAAATTTAAGTCATCCTCTGTATCCCTGTTTGCAGAAATCAGCAGTCTATAAATTTAAGTGGTCTGTTGTTCTCAGTAGTGTCCAGGCCATGCACGTGAATGGTTATGTTGCCCACACAAGTCCCCTTGTAGATCCACTACTGCCTACTACTGCGTGTCACCCTTGTGTCACAGTGTCACCTGTTGTTCCTTGATAATGGCCCTAAGCTGCAACATAGTAACATTAGCTATTCTTCTGTCATAGTAAGTACTTCCGTAAGATGAGACGTTTCAAGTTTTCCATGTAGTGAAGAAAGGAAAAATACAGTGAGACCTATGATAAGATTATTGTTAATCTTCTTACTGTGCCTAATAAATTATCAGCATGGTGTGTGAAAACAAAGCAGTACGTACAGACTTAGAACTCTTTGCAGTTTCAGACACTCATGGAAGATCTTGTAATATATTCTGTCTTAGGGAGGAATCGCTATATTGTTTTACATATCCTATGTCATATATTTTAGAAACTTTGAAGAGAAACTTAGAAAATTTAAATTGCTAGTTTGCTTAATAATGATAATTTATTATAAATGTTCTTCAGTTCCTGTGCTTTTAGGTGTCTGTAGAATAATTTCCCTGAAGATTTTAAAGAGAAGTTGTAGAAAATGCACAATACTCCCTCCCCAGTAACAAGGGAGAAGTGAGATGACAAAACAGGTTATGCTGCAAATTGGATAATTTGTTTTTATATGTACTAGCTCATATTGTTATTTATATGTTACCCAATTAAAAGGTTGTTTTAGAAATGATTACACATACACACAAACAAGTAATGTACACATTCTTACCAAGGACCCATCTTGTGTAGGTAGGCAATATAAAGATTATTTAATGAAAATTAAAACCTTAGGTCTTTAAAGATATTTGAAGTAGATTTACTCTAAACAATCTGAAGATCATTTTAATTGTAAATACTTTTCTTTTACATATTCCTTTAGATTGTAAAACCCTGAAAACATGAACTTTAGTGGCCTGACAGTACATATATAAAGTGACCTTTCAGTAAATATTTTTCATATTAAAACAGTAAGCCATGCACTCTAGTATCCATGTTCTTTCCTTGTTAGTTTTTGATAGTTTAAAGACTATGTTTATTCATTGTAAGCTTACATTTTATTCTTTGTTTTAATTAGATTAAAATATTGGAGCAGGAAAATGAACATCTGAATCAAACAGTGTCTTCCTTACGGCAACGCTCCCAGATTAGTGCTGAGGCCAGGGTGAAAGACATTGAAAAAGAAAATAAAATTCTCCATGAATCTATCAAAGAGACAAGTGGAAAACTAAGCAAGATTGAATTTGAAAAAAGACAAATAAAAAAAGAATTGGAGCATTATAAAGAAAAAGGAGAGCGAGCAGAAGAGCTTGAAAACGAGTTGCAGCATCTTGGAAAAGAAAATGAATTGTTACAGAAGAAGATAACTAATTTAAAGATTACTTGTGAAAAAATTGAGACATTAGAACAAGAAAATTCGGAGCTAGAGAAAGAAAATAGAAAATTAAAAAAAACTTTGGATAGCTTTAAAAACCTTACTTTTCAGTTAGAATCCCTAGAAAAAGAGAATTCCCAACTTGATGAGGAAAACTTGGAGCTGCGAAGGAGTGTGGAGTCTCTGAAGTGCGCAAGCATGAAAATGGCCCAGCTCCAGCTGGAGAACAAGGAGCTGGAGAGTGAGAAGGAGCAGCTGAAGAAGGGCCTGGAGCTCATGAAAGCCTCTTTCAAGAAGACAGAACGCTTGGAAGTGAGCTACCAGGGGCTAGACACAGAAAATCAAAGGCTACAGAAAGCTCTGGAAAATAGCAATAAAAAAATCCAACAATTAGAGAGTGAGCTACAAGACTTAGAGATGGAAAATCAAACATTACAAAAAAACCTAGAAGAACTGAAAATATCTAGCAAAAGACTTGAACAACTAGAAAAAGAAAATAAATCATTAGAGCAAGAGACGTCTCAACTGGAAAAGGACAAGAAACAGCTGGAGAAGGAAAATAAGAGACTCCGGCAACAAGCAGAAATAAAAGATACCACATTAGAAGAAAATAATGTGAAAATTGGAAATTTGGAAAAAGAAAACAAAACTTTATTTAAAGAAATTAGTGTATATAAAGAGTCCTGTGTTCGTCTGAAAGAATTAGAGAAAGAAAACAAGGAGCTTGTAAAAAGAGCAACTATTGACATGAAAACCTTGGTGACGTTACGTGAGGTAAGTGTGCTCACCTCAGCTCAACTATTGACATTGTTATCTTTGTACCCCACATTTATTGAACCTATTTTTCACTTGGATCATCTTTTCTATACTTAAGTGAATTTTGGAATTGGAACTAGAAACAATTTCTAACTTTCCTATTTAGATGAAAAGTTTAAATTACACTTTAAAAATGTTAGTAATAAGGTATTATTAATTATAGTGATTTTACCAGGGGAGTAAAGGAATCACATGTAGATTATACTCAAATAAATCGATATAATTTTCACAACCAGTCATTAAATATTATTTAACTTTCATATTAGCAAACAAGTTCAGAAATATTAACTTAACTCAGAATCACAGAATTAATAAAAGAATTAAATTTCTGCATTCAATCTCAGATCTTTCAAACTCCAAAGCCCTGTGATTTTTGAGATGCCTGAGAATGGAAATCAGGTTCAACTTAAACTGCAACACTGCACTATAGAAAATTCTGACATAAGATTAGGTTGGTGATATCTCTTATAATACTTGACATCAGAATATGTCAGAAAATAGGGTCTGTACTCACTCATTCTCAGGTATGGGAATGGATGTTGGCATGAGGACCGGGATACCTTACAGTTCTGCGGTCTGCATTTCTATTGGAAGGCATTAAGAAGGAACTTCCCAATATGAGCAGCAGGCCAATAAACATGTTCCTGATTCTTCAGATCAATGTGTTAGGCCTATTCTAGGAACCAATGTGCACGTAGGTTTTTGTGCTTCTTTAAAGACCTTGAGTATGTTGGAGGTTCCTTACAGTTTTCAAACCTGTCTTGTGTGTTTACTAGGAAAGAGTTTCTTCTCATTTTATAACATAGCATTATAAAGAAGTAGCAGCATATGGAAAGAGTTTGTTTCTAATAAAAGTGTTTTTCCAACAGTAATTTGAACAAGAGATTATTAAATGGTTTCAGCTTGGGTGTAATAATATACTACTTAGCTACTTCTTGGTAATAAAGACAGTGTCAGTGACCTTATCTGGTTGAAGTTGACTTCTGCTGTGGTGATTAGAGTCTCGAATGACTTTCTTTTCTTGACATAAGAGTTGTGCATTCTTTTTAAAATAAGGACTTAGTGAGTGAAAAATTGAAGACACAACAAATGAACAATGATCTCGAAAAACTAACGCATGAGCTTGAGAAGATAGGTTTAAATAAAGAACGACTCTTACACAATGAGCAAAGTACTGATGACAGGTGAGTACTGTGTGTGTTTAGCAAATCACTGTAGTTTTTATATGGGGAAATTTTGCCCAAACAGTAATATCTTCTTGTTTCTGGTTTCTTCCTTCTTTTGGAGAAAGTTCTGTAAGAACAGAAAGAATTGAATAAAGACCACCAATAACTAATAAGAAAATAATTTATATAAAAGCAAGATGCCAAAAGTGGCAGAAGATTAGAAACCACCTTTGAGAGTAGAGTGAAGAACCAACAAACAAAACATTCCTTTCAGGAAATATGTTAACTAACCTTTTGCTTTTCATTTGGCTAAGTGGCTCAGTTCTTTTATTTTGTTGCCAGACATGGACCAAAAGGAGAAAAATATAAAACAAAGAAAAATACATATTGAGATGCAATTAGTGTCTAAAAATGATGTGGACAAACAGTAGAAAAATCACTCTTTAACTTTTAAAGTGGTTGATAAAGATTTCTTTTAAAATTTTTGTTCTTCAATGTTAATCATAGTTTTTTTAGTTAGGAATAATCTGATTTTGTTTTGTTTTACAAAACAGGGTTTCTCTGTACAGCCGTTGCTGTCCTGGAACTTGTTCTGTAGACCACGCTGGCCTTGCACTCTCAGAGATCTACCAAGTAGTCTTTTATTTAGTATCCAAAGGGCCATGTGTTTCAACTAGACTTAAGAAGACTGTTTTGTGGGCCAATAAGAAGGCTCAGTAAGTAGAGGCTCCTGAGGCCAAGTCTGTAAGCATAAATCTCAGGACTCACATGGTAGAAGGGAAACCAACTCTTGGAAGTTTTCTTCTGACCTCCATACACATGCTGTGGCTCACATGCTCCTACACATGTGCACACATACATATACACAAATAAATGTAATTAACCTTTTTCTATAATAATGTTATTTGAGGCTGGGGAGATGGCTCAGTGGATAAAGCCCTCACTTGGCAATCATGGAGACCAGAGTTCAGATCTTCAGGACTAACATGAAAGCCATGTGGGACATAGTGGCCACCTATAATCTTCAAGGCTAGCTTGCTAGATGGACAAACTGAAATTGTTCATTTTCTGGTTCATCAAGAGACTGAGCCTCAATACATAAGAGTGATCTAGGAAGACACCAGATGTCCACTAGAATACATAATCACACACCATACACACAGAAAATAAAAATAATTCTGTTTTGTGTAGAATCAATTTTAATTCATTGGTACCATACATTGATACAAGTTACATTGTATCTTGTATTTGATGTGTTTGATATTTTATGCATGTATGTTAATACAGATTAGTATATACAAATTAGGAAGAATTAATGCTTATTATTTGGTATTTAATAATGCAGTTTTGGGACTAGTCGGTAGGTTGAATAATGGTCAGCTCTGTAATACAAAGAAATAATTTTAGGCATTTTCCTACTCAGTTATAAGTCGGGCAGCCAGGAGCCTAGAGATGGCACAATGGTCAGAGAATACTTGCTGCAGCCTGGCAGTCGGTGCACATCTCTGATCCCAGCACCTTAAAGATAGAGGCGGCCAGATCTCTGAGTTCAAGACCAGCCTTGTCTACAGAGAGAGCTCCAGGACAGCCAGGACTACATGGAGAAACCCTGTTTTGAAACAAAACAAGAACAACAAAAATAGTTGTTGCTCTTAGAGAGGACAGGGGTTTTATTCCCAGCACCCTTTTTTTGTTTTTGTTTTTGTTTTTGTTTGTTTTGGTTTTTCGAGACAGGGTTTCTCTGGTTTTGGAGCCTGTCCTGGAACTAGCTCTTGTAGGCCAGGCTGGTCCCAGCACCCTTGTGATTGTGCAGAACCATTCCTAATTCTAGGGTCCTATCACTTTTTTCTGATGTCTGTGGACACCAAGCATGGATATAAGTACATAGACATATATTTAGGCAAACATAACATAAAAATAAATAAATCTTAAAAAATATTTAAAATTTAAAAACAAGTCAGGTAACTATTATTAAATTAACTTCCTGAGGAAATTCTTCATTTGATTTAATCAGAAGGTTAATTGCCAATTTAATCGACTATCTTTAGATTCTAAATGTATATCATTTCTTTATTCAAATTACTTTCAGTTTATAGAACACTATATTTCAGTTTGTTGGCAAAGCATGTTTTGACCTAAGTGACACTTTCATTAAAAACTTATGAGCCCAGTTTCTTAGACTTGTCACCTCTTCCAATGCTTATTGTGCAGGAACGTGGTATTTATTGGTTCTTAGAGCAATTTAAAACCTGCAAACAAGATGTAATAACATCCATTATTCTGTGTTTGTTTATTATCATTGTTATTATTGTTTTTTCAAGACAGGGTTTCTCTGTGCAGCCCTGGCTGTCCTGGAACTTGTTCTTTAGACCAAATTGGCCTTGAACTCTCAGAGATCCACCTGCCTCTGCCTCAGAGTGCTGGGATTAAAGGCCTGTATGACCACACCCAGCTCTACGTGTTTGTTTATGTAATAAGAGCTTTTGAAATTAGGGAGAAAAAAAACAGTATATTGTCAACTAAAACTTTCAGAAAATGTGATTGGAAACATTTGATAACTAAATTTGGGGAAAACAGAAAAGAATGCCATGTCTTAAGCCACTAAATCAGCTTCTTTTAACTAGTAAGCTTTTATGTTACAAATAAAATAGAGACACACAGGTACAAATACTTTTAATCTTTAATATTCTCCATCTTGGAAGTTATGCCTCTCAGCGTGAGGTCATGTTCCTAATCCCTTTGTTACACTTGTCTTTCTAATTAATGTCACTGCCACTAAAGTTTGGTTTCTTATCATTAAAGCATATATAGGTTACTGGTGGGATCAAATATGTAAATACATAACAAAGTAAGTCATTGCTACAGTTGTGAACAGATGCTTTTGTCTCTATCCTATTTTCTTCTTAAATATAGTTGTTTCTTGGAATTTATATTTTCTGAAATTATATCTGCTCACCTGAGATTTTTATTTTTCTCTATGTATTGTATAACACTTCCGGAACTGTCTAAAATGATTCAACTATCAGAATTAAACACAGCCAAAATCAGACCCAGTAAATGTATTAAAAACTGCTTTAGAATCAATCCAGCAACAAAATGAATGAGATTTGTTCCAGTATTCATGAAACTTAAAATCTTTTCGGGCAGAAAATATAAAAATTAACTATAGATGCTGAAAAGAGGCTATGCCAGACTTGGTTAACTCTCTAATGGAGACCTTATCCTTTCTGAAGAGTGGATGGGGTGGATAGATGGAAGGTGTGGGAAGCAGGAGGAGGAACTGTAGTCAGTATGTAAATTGGAAAAACTTGTAAATAATTTTAAGAAAAGAAAAAATAGCTATGTGGCTAAGAGTACTTGCTATATTTATAGAGGACCATGTTATATGACCCTTTTGGCCTTTATAAGCACCTGTACATTTGGCATATATACATTTATGCACATAAATAAAGTGTTAACTATAGTAGCAGGCAGGATGGTGTAGTGGGATATTCGCATTGTTACCCAGAGACTGCCAATAAACTTTACCTTGAATCAGAGAAGTGGTGGTGAAGCCACTAGTGACATCCTCTCTGTCTCCTTCCTTGATCCAAAAAGACCCATGAATCTTTCTAAGCCCCTCCCTACAACTTCCTTTGTCTCTATCCGTATCCTGGGTCCTCCAAAACCTCTATGACTAATTCTAGTCAGCTATTTCCTAAATCTGCCCTCTGAATCAAGGTAAACTTTATTTCTGGTCCATATGTCAGTGCAAACAAATATCCTGCAACATTTCCCCCTTTTGTCTAAGTAAAAAAAGAAAGGTTTAAACTGTAAAACTACAAATAATAAGAGTGATTTCCAGGTATTGCCTAAATAAAAAGGAAAGGTTTTAACTTTGACAAAATAAAACTGTTTACAATAAGAGCAGTTATCAATTAAGAATTACATTTGCAATGTCCAATCAATTTTTATTTGACAAATTCAGAGAAAAGACTCAATCTGTCCTATCATGGTGACTCCAAAGTTTCGTACCTAATTTACTTTATATCATAACTTGAATTATCAACCTAGAAAAATCTTTAGACCTTAAAACATTTTCTCAGATAACCAACTTAAGCTTTTATGTCTCTCAGTCTTATACTTTACATCTCTTTTGTGAGTTTCTTTTCTTAATTTGGTAACATGGAAAACTGTAACTATAGCTTCAACCCCATCAAAACCCAAGAAAGATATATTACATGAATTAAACAGGAAGTGCAAAGCAAGCAACTTCTAAAACTATAGAAATGACAGAGACATCTGACTGCCTAGACCGTCACCCAAGGTTTTTCTGCAATGTTGGGACATCCATCTTTGGCCTACAGGTCTAGAATATTTGACAGATTTTTCTGTGAAGCAGGAATTTTGAAAGACTGTCCTACCTTGTCTTGGCAAAGTTCAGCAGTCAACTTCCTTGGTTTTGTGCTTGTCTAGTTTGGACAGCATACTGTCAGCAGTCATGGCAAGGGTAGTTTCTTGCCCAGTGGCTAACTTTGCCACAATGAAAGCAAACTCCATGTGGAGGTTCTTTGATGTCCATCATCTTTTTTGAGGTAAATTGATGCTGCCATTAGATGTGTCTCGCTTTCATGAAAAGCCTATTATTAAAACATATTAAATTCCATAGTCTGTAGATCTCTGAAATATTTGAAGACCATCTATCTGTTTAACCTGGAAAATATACCTGTTATGATTACAACTTTGATTGTTATAGATGATAAACTACTAACCTGCATTTCTTTATTATCCTAAATAGGTTTTTTAATTAATTTATTTAAATATTTAAGATTTCTGTCTCTTCCCCACTGCCGCCTCCCCTTTCCCTCCCCCCCCCCCC